ATGTGTATGGGCGTGTCCGAATAAAAACCATATCAAAGGAAGCCCGCAAAGCAACGAGTGGCTTCACCTCGGAGATAATAATACACTGTCTGTAGAAACTGTGATATTAAGATTAGCCTTAAACAAACAAGACTCAATCTCAGAGGTGAGACCTTTATTACCACCATTGTCCACTCGTGATGTCGTGATGGATGCGTGGTGTCGGACGAAACGCAGCGCAATACTAATTGACGCGATTATACAGGCTCATAACAGCGGTAGTATATATTGCACAGTCATCAATATACCATTTTCGGTTTACTGCGAGAATCACGCGTTGAGCGTGAAATCGAACGTAAAAACAGGACAAACAAAGGTCATAGCGTCGTAGTGGTGTCAAACATTGTGTGGGATTCGACAAACGCGAAGTATTTTAGGGGGCATTTCCATGCTTAATAATGTGCAATATTCCTCTGTCGAAGATCGGCCGGTCGGTGTGAGTTATGAAATAAAGAAATTCTAGTTCAAAATCAAATCGTTCGACTTTTGCGGCAGACGTTCGACGCGCGTCTTTCATACATCTCGCGAGATCTCGCAATTGTACGGAAAATCACCTATTAAAGCTGACGGTCGCAGGATCACAAGTAAACACCACCAGTTCTGTGCCTGAAGGGGTCTTTAAATTTTATTATCAATAAGTTTTTGTTAGGCTGTTCCGCCTAAGTCCAGGAGGTTAATTTTAACGATTTATTTTCCCAATGTCAAATATATTTCATTTCGGATCCAAACAGTGTCAGACTGAAACATACAATTGACCTTCCGTCCTTGAAAGCAATAGACCAAATTTATTATTGTTACAAGCGCGTGCATTTGTTTTCTTTAAATTACGTTATTTAAATTCCATCACGGGATATATATTATTAAGATTACCCCTTAACAATTACGGCGGGACCCGAGATCTCTACAGGTGTGTTTAACGACTCTGGCACTAGTAGGTCCATGGCCATACCAAGAGTGTATATATTCATCTCTTATCTATAGGCAGTGGTTCACGGGGTTGAAGCACGTTTAGAGTCTAACTAAACACCGTGTACTCCGATGACAAACAATACCAATAACCTCTATTATTTGGCAGGTCAGCATATCGAATGCAAAGCACATATAGCGTCTGCACACCATCTGATCGATTCAATAGACGCTGTGTTTGCACCGAGTCACTCACGGTCATTCGCAAAACGTGGTTTCGCCACAGTAATTCAGTGATTTCACGTTTGGAATACCAAAATTTAACAACGTATACGTCACCAGTAGATCATCTTTGATTAAACTTATTGAAACATTGCATCTGTATACTAGTATGTAACCTAACCCAGCTTATAATTATTGACATTTAAGTTCAGTAACCACCCCACCCCACCCCCAAATCTCCACCCGCCCCAACATTCAATAAGGTACACAAACAAGTGATCGAATTGTTGAGACGATCTAACATTTGACGTTCTCAGGTTTCAATGGTCAACAAAACAAACAAACAATAAATGAATGAATGAATGAATAAATCGACCAATCTAGCAATACATATTTGATCAACGCATCTGCGGACCTTGCGTACTCGATAACAATTGAAATCCGTCCACGGCACTGTGGATTATAATAACATTCGGTCGTATGCAGTCGTTAAATAAAGCAATTGGCACCCGGTAATTGAGATATCTCTTTGTATATAACGCAGTCGTTTACACCGAGTACACACAACAGCAATGTGTGGCACTGTCCTCAAGGTGTTCAATCACGTGTACTGGATGCAGGAAGTGTGTGAAGGTTATACCATTAGACATACTGTACACGGTGAAATAATATAATAGTTAGATAATTTTTTTGTTTTTTTGACGAGTTTGAAGTAAATTTAGTTAATTTGACGGGCTAGTTTTGTTTACAACTCGTTCATTTAATAAATATTAAAATAAAACATGTTGTAAATTATTCTCATTCATTAAATTCACTTATCTGAATACGATTATTGAATGTGGCGATTGTGCAAGAAAACAAAATAATGTTCCAGGGTTGTCCGATGAGGTATTAACAATAAATTGTTTTTGGTGATGGTGTTTCAATAAATGTTATTGGAAATTGAGAAAAGTAAACTAACTTGAAGTGGTTTTTATTCCGATGTCAGTGACATTTGTGTTGTGAATCGGCTTGTTGAAATGTTCTCTGAGAGTTCCATAAGGTTCAGTTTAACACGCTGAAACAAATGCATGGACGTTTCTTGTTCTCACTCGAGTAAATCATCAGTCATTAATTCGTGGTAGAAAACGAATTCTGATTTTTTTAAATTTTAAAATAAAACATTTTTTCACTGTCCACGATTGTTTTCCATGAGCAGGTGCATATTACGAAAGCAGACTATGTGAAGTACCGTGATATTACTAAATTCTCCCAGTGTTAATGTAAACCTTGTTGTGTTGCTATAATCCGCCATGCGCATGCGTAAATCCCTCACGCAGGTGTTTGCATTATCGGTTTACGAGCACGAACAATTTCAGCCAGAACGCAATGCCTACATTAAGCTATCTTTGATTAAAAACAATTTTAAATTTAATTAAAACTGTCATCAATCATTCACATGTGACATTGGTGTGCAGTCAAATATAGCTTATTAACGACGGAGACTGGTGAATATTTCAGCCATGCATAACGTATACATATCAGCAAATCGCCGAACTCCATCAACAAGTTATTAAGTTGTAGATGCATGATCCGTGAGTTATCGTTCGTGTACACGTGTGTTGCCGGGCAAAGCACAGTGGTACGGGTGCCATGGTATTCTTTTTTACCGATGAGTCAGCAGAATACAAACTTACATTTGGCATAATTACATATAACGTGAGGATCTCTTGAACATATAGCTAAAGGACGATATCCGTCAATCGCGCTTTTAAAAGGGTGGGAATCGTTATCTGCGCATGTGTCAGATGGCCATAGCGTTCATTGTTTACAAATAAGCGTCTACCCATGAGCATTTGCGTTCTTAGCGCGTGTTGTTTTCGTCGCTTAGGACTCAATTCCCGCGCGTACGCAGGTGACGACCCTCCCGCTTTAAATAAAAGAAGGCATATCGACAACCTTTGAACATGACGTTCCGACGCCGTTCTACGGTACCTTCCATCCACGCCAAATAAGAATGTTGACATACCACTCCTGACTGGCAGCTAATAGTGCACGATGTGCATGTCGATGACTGACATGCTGTTCTGTGTGCTTACAATTTGTGCATCCAAATTGCACACGGGTAGTTAAAACTATATTTCATCGCTTATAAGGATTAGTGAATCTGTCAACTGAATTCACTCACTTGAATTGAGTTGAGTTGGGCGAATCTAGACCGCTACAGATTACGGTGTTATTCAGTCGGATCGGATCAGCCGAAGTAGCTATCAATATCAATAATATGTCACAAGTATCGTGCATTAAAGGGCCGTGGTCGTCGTACAGCGCGTGTTTGGTTACTAGTGTCAAGTAAGCAATGCATTTTACACGCGTTGTATACGTCGCTATGAGACTCGTATCGAACAGGACGCGGTACGACGATCACCACCCTTTAATCTAATGTTTTCAAGAAAATGTGAAATTGGTTGTTCCTGTTGAATTTTCAGTTGAGATACAAAAACGGAATGTTTTAATCCAAAGCAGATAACCCCGGGAGATTTCTCTGCAGACAACACTGCATGTACGCACTCCACTTCGCTGTTACTTGAAGTACACACTTTTCCAATTATTGAGCTGTGGCGGGCGCACTACAGGTGTCATCTCGACAATCTCTTCTCCGTGTATTATGCCCCCGGGATTATGCCGATCAATAGTTTCCTATTTCCAGTCTCTGTCATTCGCATGTATGATAGCTGCCGTTCATGTTATACTGCCCTCAATGTTGTTTTTTTATTGTTATGCACCCGAGGCTGAGTCACATCAGAGCAGCGGCAAGAGACTGGAAACGAGTGTAGCCGCTCAAGTGAAAGCACAAATACCGGTATATTCCATGGACCAACTGTATTATTATAGCCACTGTGCATCAACGATGGCTGCCTGCAGCGTGTTCCAACAAAATTGAGACAAAATGGAGGACTCACTTTATGTTAAAGGGCGCCCTTTAATACGACAAAGCGCGTCTTCTACTCTACTGAGGGTGTAAACATAGACTCTATATAATCTATAATGAAAACAAGTAACTTCCAACCAACAACTTCAGAAACACGTCTTTGGGTTATAAAACAATTTCATGATATTGATGAATGAATCATGCGAAAAGTTTCCTTCTTGACTTGGCTGATATTCAGTTTTCAAGACACTGAACAGCGCCACCAAAATCACCGCATTTCTACGTCTGTCTGTCTATCTGTCGGTGATGGCGCTACATTATTTGCTCTTTTAAACCACTAATTATATTTTCCTAGTTGACAATGTTAGAGAAAATACGGATTTAAAAGATAAAAATGATGTTGTAATTTGTAAAATAGTTGCTTAATAGGGACACGTGATTTGACTATGACTGCTGATAGGCTAAATAGTCAGTGTAGTTAAATTGTACCTGGGTTTGAATCCACGTGTGTTTCAAACACAAGTACGTTATCTGAAATCTTTGTCTAATTTCATCCAAACGCTTCGACGTTCCATGCTTACGTCAGTTCTATTTTTTGTGGGTCAATAAACTGCTCGGTTGCGCTCGCTCGCCAGGCATTGTCTGCTTGCAAACTAACATTATAGAGTCGTCTATTCCAGTCCCCCATCAAGGAAAGTGTCGAACCACTCTGTGATTGGTGCCCCAGACTATACAATCTGCCAGCCACCCGTGTAATGAAAAAATGAATTCTCCCTAACGACTCAGTGTCGTCACGTGTCCGTATTTACGGATGATATACAATAGTTATGAGCTTCCAGTAAATGTTTGATTGATAGCGGAGTTACGTTTGCTTTGTACTGCTCTAGCTAACTAACTAACCCTGTTGCGTTCGATGGCTCACATTCCAGTGAGTTTGTAATGATATATCCAGATCAGCCGACACAATATTCCTTGATCTACGTCTTCGTAGTCGCCGTGCCATGCTGTCTTTACCGGGACTTCTTGACGAGGAGGGTGAGTTATACTCAGATACACAGGTTGTCCTGGAGACGGCACGCGAAGTGGCTGTCACAACCTGCACATTGATTTAGTACATACAGGTCTATTCATTACTGGGATTATTAATTAATTAAGTATCATTTTTTTTTTTATTCAGAGAATATTTTAAGTTATATCAAGGAATAACGAGAATATTCTCGGCAATGAAGCCAGATGAAATATAAGAGTCGGGGAAAACATAGTAACAGTATCACAGGGAAGGAGACCGTCACGTTGTTTGACGTAAGATTGCTACTGCTGGTCTCAACATTGTATAATTGTAGTCTTTACCTAATTTACTACTTCCATCAAATCCCAAAATGTCATCATAAAACTGAATCTTTTTATCCTTCAGGGATTCGTAGGCCATATTAGAACCGTAAGCACCCTGTGTTCGGGGATTCTCTTCAAGTTTAAACATTGATGTATTCATAAAACACGACCGTGTTTATATAATGTCTACCTGAATTATTGATGGCACTTGATTTCCGTTGCCCTTGGAAACGAGCAAGGCTCATATCCGCGACTGGTATTTTTGTACAAGAATGACCGCCGTGTTTTAATACATGAAAACGCATTTTGATGAAATTTAATAAATATAACACCCATCAACTTGGAAATAGGTGTAATTCTCTGTCGTTGCGAAACAGACCAGATACTTCAAGTTCGTGGCGAATGTATGAGGGCGTTGTTACCCGTTGGTCGGGCAATCATGTTTATTGATTGTACGGAATATAGTTTTGTTCGAAAATCAAGATTCATTTATTCGGCGGTCGTGTTATCATTATATCTTGGCAACATTCCTAATATAAACCTGTATTCACTGTCGACGAAATTAAACACAACTGCGCGTGCTGGTGCGTTTCCACCGTAAAAGGGACACGAAGTCACGGTCACGTGTTGTGACGCGTTACTGTAGGGTAATCGAACGCGAAGTCGTGTGTTTTTATCATTTGAGCTATCACATGATATAGGACGACAAAATCTGTTTGTTTAACTTTAAAATGAGACGAGTTCTTGTTACAAGAACGCTTATTGGTTGATCCAGTTTTTTTAGCGCGCCCAATCAAATCATTCAGTTTAACTGAGGTCAAGAGCCAAATGAGCTTTCCTAGCACACACACTGGTTCATGGTTGGCTTCAACGAAACCATGCGATTCGGACGATTGAAAGTATACTGCCCGCCCATTTTTATTTGTTGTTGGATTTATGACCAGTTGAGGGCTGCAGCATTGCCAAAACATTATTTATTAATAAATACCATTCAGTGCTCACTCAATCTGTACTATGCCCGTGAATCTATTTTTAAACTCGAATCGTTTAGCTATAGCTCTGACACTGGCAAATGGTAACAAGTCTCGTTCATGTTAACATAGATTCTTATCATCCATAGCGTTAGGTTTCAAACAGATGACACTTCGGCAAATTTGAACTTTGATTGGGCCTTCTATACTGAGTGTTGTCAATTGGTTGCATATCAACTTTCTTCCATCCTTGAGGTGTCCGAGCATCTTGTAGAATGCACTCGACGGCGACCATGTCCATTATCCCAAAGAGTTCCATCCGTATCCATAGTAACATATTATAGTCTGAATACATAGTCCGTGTGCTTAGATCGTTCGGACATTGCTCCAACTTGCACATCATTGAGCGTGTTGAGGGCGCTGTGGTAAGTGCTCTCCAAACCACCTGTTGTCGCCGGAATGCGGTGAAACGCTGTTGTTAGACAACGACGCAAACATACAATAATCGTAAACAACTTTTACGACATCCATTGTTATGGAGTCTGTCTGGTGGGAGACACTGACGTAATGCCACATCCCGTTTTAGTTATTCTCAATTAAAGTTCCCGACAATGTTATGACACCGACCAACCTTGACTCTCATATATAAATTCACGTGTCCTCAAAAGGTCAACTTTCTTCCTATGCGTGTTTTCCAGATGTACGTATTAAAAAAAAAATCGTAATTTCGAGACACTTGTCGATCAGCCGGCAATTCTGAACAACCGTTCAACGCTTAACATGTATTGTTACATGCTTCCCGTCAAATGAATGGAGTCTTTTATTAATTGACTTTATGCATCTGGCATGGAGACCCAATTTGGCACTTTGGGTAATTTGAAAGCCGACCTTTGACCCATTGTAAGATTAATTGGCCGTGTTGTGTATGAAGTTAGGGAGAGGCACGATCGATAACGCGATTTATTCTGCGTTGAAATGTCACAATATATAAAGCCCCGGCGCTTAAACCCGGCACATTTTAGTGCTCTGTATTTAATTTAATTGGACGAACTATTCAACTTTTGGAAATAACATATTATGGAATCGACTGAGTCGCCTCAACTGAAATATGACATTCCTTTGTCTATTACCTTTGTAGTAGTATATATAAAGTACATTTCGTGATATGCAATGTCTTACATGGTTATCAGGTACCCGCCATATATACAGTGTCCCGACCTTAAGGTCACTTCCCGGTAACGACCAGTTGAGGATATGATAAAACTACATAGTGGGCCATGAAGAGATCCATGGCTTGACGTGCACGTAGTCCTTACACAGCACTGCGCGGAAACCACGAATTGGTAGACGTATTTTAGCTTTTGTACCAAAAGTATAGAAGCTAACAAGTGTTTGCTCATTGAATAACAACGTCTACGAGAAGGCGGTATGCCCGCGGGTTACTAGATACAGAATGAAAGGATCTCTGCGGATAAAGGTGTGTTAGTCACCGTGGACCAAGGGCACATATGGTTCAACGCTCGCTTACAGCACACTCCATTGAAACGCGTAGTCCGCCTTTCGGGGCATGGAGTTTTAATCCGCTCGTTAGGGTTTACTCGTGTTCTTTAGTGTATGTTTTAAGTGTTGCCTGAACCGGAGTCGATAAAGTTATTCGGTTGTTAAGCATTCTAACACTCTTCGCTTAGGCCAAGTTGTCTGGTATACCGCCTTCGGACACGTTCTGGGTACAAAACAAAATGCAGCAGAGCTCAGGCGATACCGCCGAACCGGCGAGCCTGGGAAGCTGCAACGTGAATGGTTGGACCGATGTTGGGGAGGCAAGACCCACAACCGAGGACAGCGGCATCGGGCAGCCAACACCTATAACACCAGCTGAGTGGTCTGTGGAACGAGAGGGAAGTACAAATAGCGTGGCGAGACCCACCGAAACGGTACATACGGAAAGGAGTCAGTCGCCAGTATCTGTGATCGAAACCCAACTTGAAGCCGATACGAAGTCAAGTCCCAGCCCTTCAAATGAACGACCGGAATCGAATATATCCTTTGAAACTGTTGATAATATCGACGAGAACGCAACTGACTGCAACTCGAACGAAGATCACCTTAACTCAAATGAATGTGATGACGAAAACGGGCCCGTAATAGTTGTAACAGAACCGGCCCACGAAGAGGAAAGCGTCTTTAGCGCCGATCAACCAAAGCCCAAATACACTAAACCTTTTCATATCCAGAGAATATTATCCGAGACCGACGACGAGTTGGAACGAAAATTAACTATAAGAAAACGTTCTCTTTGTATTAAACCTCCAGATGACGATGCCATGACAACCATCCAGCGTCGTTTGGACGAAATAAGCGAGATGGTTACCCCGAGAACAGAGAAAGGGGCGCAGTTATTAGATGAGCTGGACGAACCACTTAGAGCCTATGTCCTGGTAAGATTTACTTACAAATTACTGTTTTTTATCAAGGTAAATATGAATATATTAGCAGCAGTGAGACTGAGCCGAGTTATAGTTAATATTTCAATATGCATTGGAGCCAGTGTATAATATTGATTAACAGTATTAGGGATTTTAGGGATTCGGTAACCATGGCACCAAATCCCTAAAATGGTTGACTACAACAAGACCCGATCATAAAGTTCCGTTACAAAGGGGACAAGTGTCTTCCAATAAGTCCATCATTGCCTCTCATTTGCTGGCTGAACTTTTCGGTCGTTGTTAAGCACTGTAATGTTATGTGGTCTGCATCTGCATTGATAAGTTGGCAACACGCCGACAAACTAATAAAGCAGGTAATGTCGAGAAAACGACAACGATATATAAAGAAACAAATTCAAAGAGCGTCGTAAAACTGATAATACTAGACGGCGGTAAATAGATATTAAAATTTGAAGTTGTGAATACAAACCTAAATACTAAAATAAATTATATTTCTTCAGAATAAAAAAATACAGAATATATAGTGCAATGACTAAGTTCTTCTATTTTCTATTTTCGATGATTAAAGAACAGATTGTTAAATTCAGATCCGCGAATCAAAACATTGAGCTAAAATCGCTAAAATGGTATGTAGGAATTTGAAATTGTGTTATATATTTCTCGAGTGGCCCAGGTGTCGTGTAATAACCACTATATCTTCAACCCTTTGAATAACGACCGTGCTCGAATCAATACCACCTGTCCAAATCATAACATATAAACAACTGATGGTTGATAACCTCTCGGCCCTCCACTTCACTCGTGACTGTCGACCAGGTTCGTCGCCGACGTTTCCATGGTAGCGCTGCTCTCAGGCATCGCCCCTACTTGAACTTGATAAATACACTAATTATTTACTTGAAATATTGCAATACATAAGTGATATGTATTGTTATTTATTGACACTTATTTCATATCAAGCCACTACTTCGGCGATAATCAGAAGAGTTTGTTTTCTAATAAATGTCGATGAGTTATTTCTTCTGTCATGGCAAGGTGCAAAGGTGAGACCATTGTGTCTGTATGTACAGAAAATTGGGATTATAAATATTGACATAAAATGCCAATACAATGATCCTTTGCACTGTGTAGAGGCAGAAAGGTCATCGCGATTGATGGTATTTAGGATAACCAACTGCTCCAGGGAAAACATGCGTGATCGACAGTACAGTGGGACATATATCAACAATTATGATAGAGATGCAGTTTACCTGACAGGTATTTTAATTAGTTAATTAGGAAACCAAGATGACCTCCCTTGTCCACAAAACTATATATTTTCGAAAAGCTTATTGTATGAATTTTAAAATTTTGTTAGTATTTTTTTTGGGACACTGTAGTTTAAAATATGCACAAAAATGTGCTTTTTTGGTCAAAAGTGATTTTAAAAAAAATTAGCTCCTAAACCATACTTCTGTTTCCTGTCAAAATTTGTTTATGGGTACATCTGTTTACTATGAAGAAAGTGCCGTCTTGAAAACTGTCTACCAGTTGTCAATTTTGCAGGGCAGCAGCTCAAATTTCACTACTTCAAGTTTATGCATCACCCAGGCTCGTTGTCTGTACGATTGTTGTAACACTGTTCAACCAAAAACAATGCCCTTACGGCGTTTTGAAGATAAACACACTGTCAATCATTTGTGAAAATTTCAAAACAAAAGATCAAAGCGTCTAGGAGCTTTTTTTTTAAATTTCTGGGATATGCACTAAAAAGAAGCTGAGATAATTGCTAATTAGCATAACCATTCACTAAGTAAGACGTTTGCTAATGCTCATAATTAGAATGGCTGTAACAGTTCCAAATTTAAATGTCTTTTCGTTTTGTTAAAAGTTAAATATATAGTGCATAATATGGAGATCCCGTCATTACTTGTTTTCACCATGTTTCTTTTTGATTATTTATGTACAGCCTTGCTAAATCTTGCTAAGCATTCAAAAGAGAGAATGTTTGTACCTGTGAGTATGTTCCACTATTCACAATTCTACAAAATTTTAACAGTCTATAGCCAAGACTGTTTGCATAATAAAAGGCAAAAAAAAAATCACTACCAAGTGCCCACGAACCTGCATCTCTACGTTAAATCTCATTTGCAAATGGCCACCGAGACCCATTAATAGCGAGAGCCACCGTGACGAGACTTGCTGTTGTCTCTTGAATAGCATTCTATTCTTTACCGTCCTCGTTTGTAACCATGGTGATTGATTGAAGACGTGGACGCGAATACGGGGAAAAAATGAAACGCTCGTTGAAGGGCAAAAACAACTGAAGTCGCGTGGCCTACTCTGGCTCTCAACGAGATATCAGCGGCAGATTTGCTAATAATTGAAACCAGAGTCTGAAAATAATCAAATCATATTTTTCGACTTGGGGGGGGGGGGTTCAGGGTCGTGCGACCAAAACTGGCCAGTCCCCAAATAAGCCCTGTAACCAACATACGTTAAAGTTGAGAAGCGATTTTTTAACTCGAATCACTAAAAAATAGAAACGGCCATTATATGTTTTATGAAGGCCCATCTCCGATTCTCAGTTCAACCTTTTTTGTATTCTTAGGTCGCACCTTAAATTAAATTTATTGTGTGACGGTAAAGAAATCGTTGTTATACGCACCGGAACATAATATAGGGTACTGTCGTACAACTATGAAATAAAGTACCCTTTTAAAATAATAACAATCGGGTTAAGACTTTTGTGTAAAAGTTGTTTTATGTTCAAAGATGTATTGTCCTGGATTTTGCTACTCGTCCATTGTCGCAACATCAACCTGCAACAAAAATATCACAAGGTACATTGTCCAAGGTCGTACCAGTGTAAACTCTCTGTGTGGTTGTAACATAACCACCTGTTGTAACGAGCCTTGCTATAACTTTTCCTGGGTGAATTTTCTTTTGAAAATGCGTTTACATTCATAACAGGGTGCAAGTGTATTTTCAAGTCTTCGGGTATGGCATCTGATCGCCCGGTTTTTAATTCCACCTTCAAAACAACGCTAGAGGTGCAGTTTCATATTCCCAAGAGTGCATCTCAGACCACTACAGGTTTGTGAGTGCATTCACCACAGCTGAACTCGTTCACGTATTTTAATCTGCAGAACGGGTGTCAGCTTTCTCGTAGAAGTGCATACTACACTCAGTTGTAAAGAAAACAAACATACCTCGAAAATAGTCGTGTGTTAAACATTGTTTCGTTTGAATTGGAGATTAGTGTTGTATATGATGTAGAACTTGTACACGCAGAAGAACTACATTTGTTGCTATTTTTAGTAATCTTTGTTTCCAGAGTGTGAATATCCCACGCTACGAGCAAAGTTTAACCTATAAACAAAACATATTTAAAACTAAGTATGAGAATATGTTGCCAAGCTGCGCATGAGTAGAATACACAATTTTGACTCTACGATAGACACCCTTGCCGCCCGTTGAATCAAGATGGTTAATTTTCATTGTTATAAATTACGTGTGCAATTTTCAATATTCAATATATTTAATACTCTTAGTTAAAATTATTCTAAAATGTGTCTGATAACTTTAGGCCTACATATATTTACTCACATAATTCATTGCAATGTTTAAGTGGATCGTGACAAGGATCAATCCACCAGTATTACCCCCCACACCTGAGGTCGAATATATGCACCATATATACCAAAGAAAGTTGCAATGCGATATTCCCAGCAATGATTCAATAGAAAAGCAAGTTGATATGGAAAGCGGTCATTTTAATCTAGTCAGGCGGGGCAATTTCCGTGATGTATATATTTATTTATTTGTTTATATATTTACATTTCGTTTATTTAGTAATGAATCGATGTAATTTTGCCAGGGGGTTGTGGACAGATAATGTGACTAATAATTGTTATATTTTTCTACGATTTTGTCTTTTTTTTGTTCTAATTTGAATTCGAAGATTTCACATCGCGAAATGTATAATTAACACAATTGGAACTATTTCGAGAATAATT